ATATATATATATATATATATATATATATATAATATTAGTGGTTAATACACAGACACACACACACACACACACATATATATACATATATATATATAAAATATATAAATATATTTACATACATACATACACATACATATGTATATAAAATGTTAAATTCTCCAAACCCTTTCCAATAGACAATCCACATTAAATCAAATATGTTTTACCATAAAAACACAGTATCTTGAAGTATATATATATATATATATATATATATATATATATATATATATATATATATATTCATTATACGTGACATGAATCTAACTAATAAGAAATAGCCAAACACAAGATACCATTAATCTGTGTCTGTGCTTTTTATTCTTTTTTTATAATTTCTATCTTGATTATCTAACAAAGGTTTAATAAAGTGAAACATGTTAGATTAAGCTCTGTTTTTTACTTGTTCTTTATGCTATCATATATATATATATATATATATATATATATATATATTATCTGTTGTTGCACTACACGTGACACATATCTAACCAATAAGAAATAGCCAAGTACAAGATACCATTAATCTGTGTATCCATATTTTAATCTGACGAAGATTTAATAAAGTCAAACATGTCAGATTAAGATCTGTTTCCTACTTGTTCTTTATCCTATCATTTTGTTAGATTCCTATCCATACTCAATCTATATCTATCTATCTATCTATTGGATAATGATATCTATAAATTTTTATATATCAAGGACATTATTAGGGAAAAGAATGTATGATAAAATGGAAAAAACTTTTCGTGTGACGCGTTTCGTTCTTCAAGACTTCATCAGAATTAAATTTATTATGTTGCCGGGTCTAAACGAACGCACGAACGACAGACGCTGGGTTCACCATTTCTGGCAGATCTTCACAGTGTGGAATATCTAAGAACAAAAGTGATGGAAAAAAAAGAATCTAAATTAAATTGGTTAGATTATATATATATATATATACATACACACATATATATATATATATATATAGTTTATGCATATTTAGCTAATCCGTATGGGTAGACCTGAGGAGGGTGATATCAAGAGAGCTCAATGTAAAATTCAGAGCAGATATGTTTGAATAAAAGACAGACCGTAAAAAACGTGTGAATTTCTTTTCATTTTTCATTTCAGCTTTTGGAAGTAAAGTCTGATGATCCAGAACCCTGTTAAAGGGGTTATGGTGAAATAGCTTATTACATGGAATCTTAACGTGGTCTGTCTTTTATTCAAACAAATATATATATATATATATATATATATATATATATATATATATATATGATGGAATCTACCATCGAGTTCGATGTATGAGGTTCCGCGAACTTATTATCTGCGTGCCTATGACGGGCATGACTTTTGAGACCGGCTCGAGAATTGCACAAAGGACCACAAACAATACAGGAGAATGTATTGTATCCAAGTGCAGCAGGAACACTGTTAGCTGTCTTATTTTGCTTTCGTGTTTCGCTTTGTCGACTGATGCTTACTTCTTGATGATGCATTATTCCTGAATGGCAGCTAGAAATGATACTCTGATCTCTTCATCACTGCCTCTTCAAAGTTCTTAAATGAAATGTTGACGCAAGAAAGGTTGCTATTCAGTTTATCTTTATTCCTGAGCCAAGGTCTACCAACATTTCTATGACCACTATGAAGTTCACTATAAAAAAGAACTTTTGGTACGCAATCATTACTCATCATTGCCACATGTCCAGCCCAACGTAGTTTTGATTGCATTATGAAGGTCTTGATGGTACCAATCTTACATTTCTCATGAATAAATACCAATAGGTACGATGGTAGCAGAAAGAAGTCTTGTAAATAAGAGGTTCCTTTCTAATATATGAGGCAAAAGATATATCAAAAGATACTACAGCATGATCCAAGGGACGTTTCGAATAAAGACACTAAATGAATCCCAATCAGTATGCTGGTAGCAGAAAGAGTTCTTCTGAATGGGCAATTCCTTTCTCATAGACCATCCAAAAGAAATATCATCAGATACTACTGCTTAATTCGAATTATCAATGAGATATTTCCAAGCGGTCACCCATCTAGTACTGACTAGACTCGACGTTGCTTATCTTGAACAGATATTTCAACGTGCAATGGGCGTAAGCCAAGATCACCTGCACATCCATGCTTACAGTACCTGGCATTTCCAAGTGGTCACTCATCTAGATACTGACCAGATTCGACATTGCTTAACTTAGGTGATCAGACGAGAACTGGTGTTTCAACGTGATATGGGCATAAGCCAAAATCACCGCCACATTCAGCCTTACAGTACCTAATATTTCCAAAGTGGTCACCCATCTAGGTACTGACCAGACTCGACGTTGCTTAACTTCGGTGATCGTACGAGATCGATGTTTTAACGTGCTACGGCCGTAAGGCCTCGTACCTGTATACTATTCCGAGCCGTTATTAATTGCACCACCCGCGCAACCAAGCGGATAAGTGAAACCAGCGTACATCCTCATAAAGAAAACTCGAATTCATAGAATCAATACAATTTTTCTTACTGAAAATACCCGGATGGAGCATAAATACAAACGAAACACACTACTTGAAAATAGAATATAACAAAATAAGGAAAAGGTGGAGGAGGAAGGTCCCCTAAGTCGGTTAACTAACGAGAAGGGAGCCCCATAGTCTGAAGGAGCCTTCTCTGTAGACCGGTTGCCATATATCAGCATTGGATGAAATGATGCCGAACTGCATGTTCTGTTCGCGCATGCGTTCGTCTACAAACAGATCTATGCACATGCGTAGGTTTGAAGCAGAAATTACACTTCTGACATTAATAATGACATACAAATTCTGTTAATGGAGAAACAAATTGAGCGCTCTATCAACGCGAACTTGTGCCAATAATCGTTTCGTCCACGTATACGGAGAGTTATGATCCCCTGAATGCTGAAATAACATGATACATAAAAGTATCGCTACTTTCAGGATTTAGACGCTTATAGCTCTCCACAACATCCTGTCTTTTGCCGCTCTACGAACTTCTGAACCAACACCTTTTTTTGTCCCCACTCTGCCATCCACACACACAAATTCATTATGCTGCTCGCGCTTTTCCAGGTTTTCTTCTGGCATCAGTACGTCCTGTGAGTGTTAGATTCTCCAAACCCCCTTTCCTCGTTATGTGTTATATAAAATATAATTATATATAAAATATAATTGTATAATTATTTATTTAAAAATATGATTCCAACTCGCGACATAAGAGGTCTCATGTTTCAAAACAAGAGCCGAAAACATGAGACCTCTTATGCCGCGAGTTGGAATCATATTTTTAAATAAAAAATTATATTTATGCTCTACTTTTGTATCGAGCACTATTTTTTTTTAAAATAATAGCTAAAATACTAAGGAACTTTGGATTATTTACCTAACCAGTTTCTTCCTATTTTCTATATATTTTCACACACACACACACACACACACACACACACACACACACACACACACACACACACATATATATATATATATTAAGCATTACGCCCCGAGCAAGCCGTGAAGCCACTAGGATGCAGGGGATTGCAGAAGATTTGGAGCGAGAGCAGATAGGAGTGATAGAAGAAAGGATGAGAAGAAGGATAGTGGGGAGATCAAGGTAACTGGAGGTGTCGATTGACATTACATTTGAATAGTTGGAGATTATAGCTCTCAGGGAAACAGTAATTGGGAAGGGTGTTCCACAGGCGAGAGGTGCGAGGTATGAAGCTATTGGAGTAGAAGAGACGGCTACATTTAAAAGTTTCTACAGTGTAAGGGTGGGAGCGAGATGCTAGCTTCGTAGGGCGCTTGAATTCATGGAGTCCGGGAACCAGTGAAAGCAGCTCATCGGAGCAATTACCATGAAAGTATTTGTAGAAAAGACAGAGAGAGGCGACGGCGCGTCTGTGAGAGAGTAACTGTAGATGAGATGCCAGATCAGGGCCAATTATATTACATATCCGTCTCTGGATCTTGTCAAGAACTCCGAGGTAAACAGAAGGTGCCTCAGACCATATATGGCAGCAATACTCCATGCAAGGGCGAATGGTTGATTTGTATATTTGAAGTATCGATAATTTTATTTTATAGTGTTTAATCTCAAATTAATATAGACCAGAAATAAAGATGAAAATTATACTGTAATTTGGATTGGTGTCTTCTTTCTATGGAAATCTGTACGCCCGGGTAAGAGCTTTGTCGATTAGGTTACGAAATGTAAACTGCAGACACGATTCAAATCTAGTCATATAGCTAAAGTTACTATATATATATATATATATATATATATATATATATATATATATATATATATATATATATAAAAGTTGTATGGATATGAGTTTGTGACCCTGGCTTTAGCGATCATCAGACAAACTTCATCTCTGATATTGAGCATTTTCCACGAAGTACCGCGCATAATATATATATATATATATATATATATATATATATATATATATATATATATATATAGTGTATCGAAAATACTTTGACAAATTTAGTGGCGGGTTTCTCACACTACAACAATGAAATAAGTTTAAATAAACATGTCTGAAAATCCTTCGTTTTTGAGTTATTAATTTTAAAGAAAGTTTACGGTAGATGGCACTGTGTTGTCTTGTAGACTAGGTTACATTTGTCCTTCGTGTACTTTTGTAGCTAGTCTATTTTTAACGTTTAACGTGTGTAGTCCTGAGTTAACTGAGAAGTGTTCCGTTAAAAAATGGCAGGATATTCATATCGTGAGCAGGCAGATATGATTTTTACATACGGCCGCGAAGCTGCATGGCGGTATCAGATTGCGTTTCCAAACCGAAGGCAACCGAGTCAGCCAAACTTTGCTGCTGTTTTATCTTTGCGTTGCTGAGACAGGATCCGTGGCACCACAAACTATGGAACGAGGAAAACCGAGGTCCGTTCGTACGCCTGACCACAAAGAACACATTCTATAGGTTGTCGGAGACGATCCAATAACAGCACACGTTACAGTGTGTCTAGTATGTTGTACATCTCATACTACTGCATTGAGGGCACTTCAAGAGCAGCTCCTGTATCCGTATCATTTGCAATGCGTGCAGGGTCTTTTGCCCTCTGATCACTCACCACGGGATAAGTTTTGCCGATGGTTTATTGCACGATCTGTCGAGCCATTGTTCTCCTCTTCAGCCTTGTTTACGGATGAGACAAAATTTGGAAGAGATGGAATAACTCATTTACACAACAAACATTTGTGAGCAGATCAGAATCCTCATGGTACAATACAGGCTAGACACCAGCATCAGTTTACGATTAATGTACAGGCTGGAATTGTAGGTGGGTGTCTTACAGGAGCTGTCTACAGAGATTTTATTTCGAACACGTTTCCAGACCTGCTAGAGGATGTACCCCTGCTAATACGAAGACACGTGTGATTCATGCATGATGGGGATCAAGCAGAAATGCACTGGCTGACATCTACCATGAAAGATGGATAAGCAAGGGTGCATCTGTTCCATGGCCTGCACGTTCCTCCTACCTCAGTCCTTTGGATTCTATCTGTGGGTCTACCTAAAACAATTGGGTTATGCAACAGGCATTAATAATGCAGAGACGCTTCATCAACGTGTTTTGGGGACCTTCGAAACCATTCGACACCGTGTGGAAGTATTTGAAAGAGTCCACCAGTCAATGATCCGACGGGTGCATGCGTGTGTAGAAGCAAGCGGAGGACATTTTGAACATTTGTTAAAAGTGGCTGTGTTGAGGTACAACGATGGCCTTTTGGACATATGTTTATATGGAGATTTTACCTTATTTTCGCATCACAGATCCGGCCCTAAAGTTTGTAAAAGTATTTTTGATACACCCTGTATATATAAATTTTAAGCATATATATATATATATATATATATATATATATATATATATATCTGAATATATATATGTGTTAAAACATTAAAACAGACTGTTGCTACTCCGTGTTGATCACTGTGTCCACTTTTAGATTTTATATTAATATACGGTCTATCCCTGATATTAAGCACGTTTACTCATAAATAGATCATATATATATATGAACCTAGCGTACCCTGACGATCCACGTAGGTGAAACCTAGGTAGGTCTTTAGGTTCATAGTTAGATTTGCTCTACTTAGCGTATTTTACTTAGAGCATTTTACTTACTTATTTTACTCGTGTCGGAGGTTTTTTTTCTTTGGACTCTGAGCTTGGATTCTGGTCGATTATTTTCGCCAAAATTGCATGTTCCTAGTTTGTTTTTTTTTTTTTTTATTCCTTTTTTTCCCTTAGGTATTGGTTTGTCCATTTACAAGCCAATACACCTAAGGTTTTTCCGGACGAGTACACTTACTTATATTTATAAGATTATATATATATATATATATATATATATATCGTCGCATATATATATATCGCATATATATATCGCATATATATATCGTATATATATATTGCATATATATATATATATATATATATATATATATATATATATATAGAGAGAGAGAGAGAGAGAGAGAGAAAGTTGCAAATTAAAAAAAATAATGTTTTATTTTATGAAAGTATTTATTTATTTATATATATATTTGATATTTCAGATTGACCTCAATCTTTCTTCAGAAATAACTGTTTGTTTACAAGTAGCGATATGGAACGCCACTGCGTTTGAATATTCCTAACGTAAATCTAACTGTAATAATATTTTAGATGTTGTTTAAAAAATAAAATTTTTTTTTAACTATATCTAAAAAAACTGTTTAACTATTGCAATATTTATAAAGATTTAAAATACTCAAGTCTTTATTTAACCCTAGTTTATATGTATTTAATTTTAAAATCCAGTATTTTTCTTTTTTTTCTGCGTTTGTCTGTGGAACTGAAATCAGAATCTATCAATAAACATTTACAGTTTTCTAATGAGTGGCCTGATTGATTAAAGTGTTCAGCTATGGGGGAATAAGGATTGTTTTGACGTATGGTTTCTTTATGATTGTTGAAGCGAAATCTAAAATTATTTCCAGATTCACCAATATATACACTATTAGGACATAAGGTGCAAAATAAATTAGATTATCCTTATTTCCCCATAGCTGAACACTTTAATAAATCAGGCCACTCATTAGAAATATATATATATATATATACATATTAAGAAAGTATACGTGGCTTCTCATGCTATATATATATATATATATATATATATATATATATATATATATATATATATATATATATATATATATATATATATATATATATATATATATATATATATATATATATATATATATATATATATATATATATATATATCGCGTATATATATATATATATATATAATTATTTTTTAAAAATATGATTCATATTTGAAGGAATCATATTTTTAAAAGTTAAAAAATCAAAAAATTATAATTTAGGCTCTACTCATGTATTGAGCATTGAATTTTTCAAAATAAAAACAAAATACTAAAGAACTTCGGATTATTTACCTAACGTGTTCTTTTCTTATTTTTCTATATATTTGCGCACACACACACACACACACACATATATATATATATATATATATATATATATATATATACGTGTGGATATATGTAATTAAACCTTTAATCCCTGATCACCGCTTTACCGGTGGTAGAGGGAAATGACGTAATTCTCAGCCACCGGTTGATCGGTGGTAAAAGAAAAAAGGACTTAATGTCCAGCCATCGGTTGAACGATGGGTAAACAGTTGTATTTTTATGTCTATCGTGAAGCATTACATACCAATTATTTGCGAATTTTGACTCAGGAGCTCAGGCAGAAGGATTAAAATTGTTCAGGAACTCAAGGCTCAAAAGATTAAAGAACTGTCATGTAATGTCAGTCTTCCTATATACACCGAATGCTGAACAATCTCCACACAGATAAAGAATAAACTTGAAATGGGGTTCTACAGAAGGATGCTGAGGATACCATGGACTGAACATGTGAGCAACGTTGGGAGAAAATGGAAACAAAAAGGATACTTATACATCAGGAGGAAACAGTTCAAGTTCCTACGGGATATAATGAGGAAAGGCGGTTGGAAAATTGGATACTCACGGGACATATTGAAGGCAAAAGGACAGAGGAAAGCAACACATAGGCTACCTAGTAAGCTTGAGTGGATAGATGGTGGGACATGGTTTGGGAGAGAAAACAAAAAAATAAAAGACAAGAAATTGTAGAGAGTCGTGATCGCCAACGTCTTGAAGGAACATGAGACAAAGAAGAAGAAGAAGAAGAAGAAGAAGAAGAAGAAGAAGAAGAAGAAGAAAGTACTTAAGATTTGAGATATATACTCACTACCATAGGCGGACGATCGGAGTAGTTAAGATAAACAAAGCAGGAAAATATGATTAAAAAATACTATTAAATATATTAATAATTGATAAAAATATAATAAAAATTGCTTATATATGTAATTTGAACAACTTAAGACGATTGCAAGCAGGTGTAAAGAAGCAAGAGAAATAAAATGAAAGAAATACTAGTCAAATATGAATAATAATTGCCAATGCTTCATCTACAAAATTCATACAGACTATTACTACTTGGTGTAAAAGCAAGCGAAATAAGATGAAGAAAATATTAATTAAATATTAATTATAATTGACAAGGTTTAATGTGAAAAATTCAGACTTTAGACTATTACTACTTGCTGGAAAAACAAGAGAAATAAGATGAAAGAAATACGAGTCAAAAATGAATAATAACTGACAAGTCTTCATCTAAGAAATTAATACAACTTAAGAATATTACTTACTTCTTGGTGTAAAAGCAAGAGAAATAAAATGAAAGAAATACGAGTCAAAAATGAATAATAATTGACAAGATTTTATCTAAGAAATTAAAAAGAACCATCCGATAGTGTTAATGGAAAAAAAAATCTTGCTTATTAATAGTTCCCGTCCAAATCTGTAATAACAAGAAAATATTATCAACAGTTCATTTAAATATTTTTGGACTTTTTAAAAAATAAGTCTTTCATGGAAAAGTGAAAAAAGAAATGAGTGAGAAACATTAAGCGATCCCAACTTTGAGATCAGCGGTAATTACCGATCAATTCTGTCTGTTTTATTGATTACATTTTCTATTTGTTCATTGACTAAGAAAAACGGCTTTAAAATGATGATTAATAAGATCCGTTGGGCGTTTTTCATAATTGACTGACCGTCCATGTTGGCCTAATGTCAACTGACTTCGTCTGCGCATGTGCCGAATGAATACGGCTTAGACGAAATGTATTCATTATCTTTCTCAGACAAGTAACAGCAGAAAATTTATGAGTCTGTTCACATTAGTCAAGACTTTAACATGCCTTTTCTCCGACCCAGTCCACCAAAATGGCGTCTTATCAATCGATTTTGTTAACGTGTTATGTACTCATTAACTTAAAACCTATTCTACGGATGTTGAGACATTTTGTTTCTGCTTTTGTTTCATTGGTTATACAAGTAACAAATTTTCGAGATAACCATGCGGGGGAAACACGTCTATTCTGGTGACATTGTGTTACGTTCATACAAGAATGAAATAACCTTTGTTTCGGTCAAATCACTTATTATTAGCTACTGTGACATGTCTTAAAAATGACGGGATTATAAATGCTTTTTCCCCAGTTATTATCATTATACAACGTTCTTTTACGGAATTAGTATTTTCACTTCCGAAGGCCCAAGAGCCACTCAAGGTAGATGTTTAGTTAAGAACGTAGGAGTGGAGGAAGGAAGAAGAAAAATTCAAAGATTGGTCTGTAATGTAAACAATCCTGACCAGGCATCTCGGCTTTAGTCATTTTCCCATTGACGTGACGTGGCTTCTCTCTGTCTTTTCTAAAAATATTTTCAGGGCAACTGTTTTGATGAGATGTTCCCCCTGTTCCCCGATTACGTGAATTTAAGTGTGCTACTAGATTGACAATTAGGTCTCACCGTTCTACTGTTGGCTAGCCAGATGCACACGCCACTTTTACAGTTTCTTTTCTTGCCTATGTAATTTCCTTCCGATTTCTTGCTTCCCTGACAACTACAATCTTTAAAAATTTAAATCACCATCTTCTGCCTACTTGAACTCTGTTCCTTTATTTGTCCTTTCCCCAATCCTTTCCAATAAAGTCTTCTCATTCTCTTTCATTCTCTATAATACCTTGCGTTCTAATGACTTTACTATATGCTGGATAGATAAATGTTGACCCTAGACTTGAAGAAGTTAAAATTATAATCGTTGAGGAAGCATCCACTCGGGAGTTTGGGAAAGCGGTTTTCTGTGTGGAATTTCCTCCTCGCCAAAGGAATAAGAACGATTTAACGCCAGAGACAACAAAGAAGATTCTACAGAAGGATACTGAGAATTTCATAGACGGAGAGAGTAAACAAGAAGGAAGATTTCAAGAAAACGGCAACAGAAAGAATCAGGAAAAGACAACTGAAATTCCTTAAACGCATAATGAGGGAGAAGGGCTTGGATGACTTAACCCCACCCAACGGGGCGTATTGAGGTCAAGAGAGACAGGGAAAGCATCGAGCTACAACCGACGAGCTTGTCTGAATGGATGGTGGAACTGGGGGCAGGGACCTTAGAAAAAGGGAGAAAACTGCTAAGGGCCACAAGAGATGATCGCCTATGTCCTGAAGGGACGTGGCACACAAAAGAAAAAGACGTGACACGGCGGCTCCTAGCTGTGAAGGTTTGAATTAAGAAATATCATTCGTTTGAATATTTGCCATCGTAATCGCGACAGTGTTAGCTGAGTCTAGGGTCATTTTATTTGTGGGAAAGATGTTGTTGTGTTGAAAATAATCCATCACACACAAGTCCACGTAATAGCTTTTGAACTCAAATTTGGATGGTGAAACTTCACAACACCAGCAAGAGAACTCTTACAGATATTACAAAAACCACTTGGTCTTTCATATAAGGATTGCTTGGTTTTTTACGGCTTATCAACCCTTTGCAGATTATTTAAGGCCAGCAAATATTGGGTTGGCAACTAAGTTCCCACCATATTTTAAAATTTTGCTCCCTGTGCCGCGTCAGGAAATTTTTCTCCCCGGAATCGATACTTCAAATATACAAATCAACAATTCGCCCTTGCATGGAGTATTACTGCCATATATGGTCTGGAGCCCTTTCTGTTTGCCTCGGGGTTCTTGATAGGCTCCAGAGGCGGATATGCAATATAATTGGCCCTGCTCTGGCATCTCGTCTACAGTCACTTTCTCACAGACGCGCCGTCGCCTCTCTCTGTCTGTTTTACAAATACTTTCATGGCAATTGCTCCGAGGAGCTGCATTCGCTGGTTCCCAGACTTCATGAGTTCAAGCGCCCTACGAGGCTGGCATCCCGCTCTCACCCCTTCACTGTCGAAACTCCTAAATGTAGCCGTCTCTTCTACTCCAAGAGCTTCATGTCTCGCACCTCTCACCTGTGGAACTCCCTTCCCTATTCCAGTTTCCCTGAGAGCTATAATCTCCAGCTATTCAAATGTAATGTCAATCGACATCTCCAGTTGCCTTGATCTATCCACTATCCTTCTCCTCATCCTTTCTTCTATCACTCCTATCTGATCTTGCTCCAAATTTTCTGTAACCCCTTGCGTCCTAGAGGCTTCCCGCCTTGCTTGGGGTGAAACGCTTAAAAAAATCTATTGTGTTTTTAAATGGTATGCGTATATTGGGGATCGGAAAGGGATTATCCATTACGAATTTCTTGAAAGGAACCAAATGATTAACGCGGAACTCTATGTTAAACAGATAGAACGACTCAACACGGCTATTTAAGAGAAAAGACCTAATCGGCAAGCATGGAGTTCTTTTGCTGCACGACAACGCCCGCCCTTATATCGCCAATATGACCAAGGAAGCCATTCAGACGTATGGCTGGGAAGTACTTCCACACCCGCCTTACTCTCCCGATTTGGCACCAACGGATTTCCACCTCTTTCGGTCTATGCGCGGAATTTCATTCAATACTGATGCAGAATTAAGAGCTGGGTTGGATGAATTTTTCGAGTCGAAACAGTGTGATTTCTACCAACGAGGTATTGAAAATCTTGTTTAACGTTGGGAAGAAGTTGCAAACAACAAGGGAGAATACATGATTGATTAATTAGTTGTTATTTTTTTTATTAAAATTTTTAACATTATTTACATTATTCGGACTATTTTGTCGCCATATTTATTACAACGTTTCGGCCGTTGTACGCTCCGGCTTTCTTCAGGTGGTTGGAATGTCGAACTGAACCCTTTATTTCGCTCACTGTACGAGAACCGGTGTTTCTCGTGATATGGCCGTAAGCCATTTAGAACATCTGCACATCCAAGCTTACAGCACCTAGTATTCCCAAGTGGTCACCCATCTAGGTACTGACCAGGATGGACGTTGCTTAACTTCCGTCATCGTACGATAACCGGTGTTTCAACGGGAGATGGCCGTAAGCTATTATATATCGAAATTTTTTTTGTAAGTATTAAAATAGTGTTATTCTTCTAGTAGAAAATGGTATGGAATCGATGTTTGCTCCAAGAATGGAATCTGTAAGACATGTCAAAAAGAATTTTGAAGTATTGGAAGAGAATGCTGGCAGATTAAATGAAATAAAAAACTGAATTTACGAAGACTTAGAGTAACAGAAAGAAAGTACAAGATATAAACATTAATAATAATATTGAACAATTATTGTCACTAGCAGGACAAGTTTTCCCATTTGAGTTTTTTGAGGAATCATAATTCTTTAACAATTGAATAAACTCTTGGCATGTTCCCCTACTATAGAATATCTGTTGAAATTCTCCTATTGTACCGTTAAATATTTAATCTGAACAAATTTAACAAAAATGACACTTAGAATCATTAAAATCTAAGTCATTATTTAATTAAGTAAGAGAGTACAAATGGCCTAGATATTTTGGATATACATATATTTTGTTATTCTTTGTTTTATGGTTTTCATATTTGAATTTTCTGATTAATCTTAATTCTTAACAGTCCTGGGTAAGACAATAAAGTACATCTAACAGCAAGGCCCCTTATCAGGAGATTGTAAGGAGCGTGGAACCACCTCTTAATTGCTGGTGTTCCCAGGCCAACCCTGATCTGGAGTGGTAGCACCTGTTAGGGTCTCAGTTATGGGCAAATAGTTAACCCCCAAACTGGTATCAGAAAACTATGAAAGTGTAAAAATATGTTTTAGTACCAGCAATACATTTTTGTAAAAAAATTACCAACAATGAAGTTTTTGAAGGAAAAAATTATTACCAGCAATAAAAATCATGTCGGCATTAAATAACCCATTGAGGTTGGTATGGCGTAAAAAAAAATCAAACCAAACTAATTCTTAAGATAATGATTAAGAGCATGGCGAGTTCCATAACTATGAAATAACTTTTGAAATTCCACTATCACATCATTGAATATTTGAGCTTAACAAAATATTGCAATAAAAATCATAAATATGAATGTAGGTCATTATATAAAGAAGTAAGAGGGTACAAATGAAAAGATTCAAAATTGACAAGGTTTTCTATTTCACCGAAGCAGGCACTAAGAACGTGACCGTTATCATTTCCACTATTTTCCCTTTCTGTTTTTTCTTTCTTTCCCTAAGTTCGCCGGCTCCAAAGAATCGTTCTCGGAGATCAGGATGGAGCAGGTAGCCTCTCCTGAGCTCAGTAAAATTGCGAAAAATTGTTCTGTGAGAGCCTCTGTTTTGCTAAATCCTACTTTATGTAGGGTCGTAAGACTTACCTTCCCTACAGATGGGTCATGTTCAAAATGGGCTCTGGAAGCCTAGGACAATCCGTCAGGCTCTCGAGCCCTGTAGAAATTTTCGGCCAGTATGTGTGTAGGCCGAAAAGATGGCTATAAAGTTGGCATGCTTGAATGCAAAGAACTGGAGAGATTGGAGTAAGGTGGCCTACCTTCTTGGTGATCTCCTGTTCTTCGGTGTGTGCGCTGCCGCGATCCAGGAAACTCACTTTGTTTTGCGAGGTCAATGCGCGTGTGATGTTTACCGGCTTTGTCGTCTATTCAGCATACGGGGACACTGACCTAGGTCAGTAATCGTTTTCAAATGCTGTGACGTAATGCGGTCTTTGACGTAAACCGGACGTAATGTCGTAAAATGAGGACAGACGTAGTAAGACACACATAAATAATCCCCCCCCCAAATATAACTATTGCTAAAACCGAATGAGAACCAAAAACTCATTTTAGGCATACTTTTTTTTTAATAATATAGAACAATACAATTATTCGTGTTTTTTAAAAACCTGAGGTAAAAATAGTATAATATATGTCATTCGCAGACAGTACTGTTTCGATGCATCACAGCTCCGCAGTGAGACTAGACATCCGAATGCATCAAACCAGGATCGAAACCCAACCGCTTTGGTGCCAGTGAGAGCTTCTACAACAGAGCTATCTTCACTCGGCAGAGTTACACACCTACATTTAGCGTATTGTTTTTACGAATGTAATCAAATTCTAATCAGCTGCCATTCATTTTACTGAAGAGCTTTGATTGTAAAGTAGTCATTCAAAGAATAAATCAATAAAGTTAATGTAATTAATGGCGAATTCACTTCGCTAACAGATTAAATAAGGCATTAACTCACTGATCACTCGCTGAACGACGCGATCCTTGTTTTTATTAATTATAAAATGGATTAGATGTTCGGTTCATATAGCAAATACTTTCGGTAAAAATATTTACCATCCTCAGACATAGATGTTATTTTTTTCTCAATTTTAGGTATTTTCGGTTCGAGATGTGTTTGGATGTTGAAATACAACAAAATTTTGATTTATTCTTTGATTGACTATTTTACAATATTAATTAAGCTGCATTATTTAATAATTTAAAAAAAGAATCGATCTGCAGTAAAAATATTTCTGAAATCTGCAGGGACTGCCATGACAATAAGAAAACACATTATTATTATTATTACCGTTAATTTTGTATTGACGATGCATAAAATGTAGTTATTGCGAAATTATTAAAAATATTTATTTATTTTTTGGAAGGGGATGCGTCTTCTCATCAGACATTTTCACTGTATAGACCGAAGCCATTTTGAGAGAATTAGGAGTCCTACTAGGATTCATATTTGGCGGCCACAATCTTAACGACATAAAATATGCAGATGACATAACGTTAATAGCATAGGCGGAAAGGAAACTTCAAGAAAATTAAATCCTTATTATTTACCATTTTATAACGTCTGAATCAATTAGCAATTAGCCGATGTTTTGTCATCCTTTTCAATGAACAATATAATAAATAAATAGTGTAAATAAACAATATAAAAAAATAATGTTTACTATTTTTGCTGTTAATTCTCAAGTACAAAGAAAATGTATAAATTCGCTTTCATATGTTTAGGTTTTAGTACAATTCTAATCATAACTTTTTAAAACAATAAACATCGCTGAGGAGTGAAGGTAGTTAAAATAAAAGTGGTATCATGCGGAAAGACGTTCTTTTGACACTACGTCTTATTCCTGGCACGTTTGTCCATGTTTGCCGAATATCCTTTCTCTATCCCCATTTGTTAGAAACCAAGATTCAAGGAGCCTAAATCAGGTCAACTTCAACAACCAGTAAGTCATTCCTACTACAACTTTTTTATACATAAATAAAAGACTTTTCTTTTTCAAGCAGATACTACGAATTCTGTAAAAGCTTTTACCTATTACATTATTTAAGTCTATTTAAGTTTATTAAAGTAGGCATTGAAGTAAGTATATTCACATATTTCCTCTCTTTTTCTTGATGTTGCGATGCATACTAAGAAAATTTCGAGTTGATCCCAATAAACAATATAATAAATTAATAGTGTAAATAAACAGTATAATAAATAATGTTTATTATTTTTGCTATCAATTCTCAAGAACAAAGAAAATGTATAAATTCACTTTCATATGTTTAGGTTTTATTACAATTCTAATCATCGCTTTTTCAAACAATAAACATTGCCGAGGGAGTGAAGGTAGTTAAAATAAAAGCGGCGTCACAAGAAAAAAACTGTTCTTTTGACACTCCGCCTTATTGCGGGCAAATTTGTCCATGTTTACCGAAAATAATTACCTGGAACAGTTAATCACTGGTTTTATAAATACAACTCACACAAAAGCCAACTGTCACCATTTTCTCATAATGGATCCATTGAGCAAAAGAAAACTAAAAAAAAAAAAAAGACATTAATTAAATGACATCGCCAGATTGTTTTAATCTCATCAGTTCCTTGCATATCGTTTTCGTTAACATCATGACAATTTGTTTAAGCAAAACTATTAAAAATCAAGTCTGTGATATGATTTCTAAATTTTTGCTTTGTTTACGTATGAATAATGATTGACTCGTGAATTGGCTATTCGCCTCTGCCTGCGTTGATACTGAAGTGCGTGGATGATCACTTTAGACATAAGAGATGCAAATGATAAGATGCGACAAGCGGACGTCAACGATTGGTGGCCAAGGGCGAAGGCAGAGTTAAGGTCAGCGGAGGTTAGTAGAAAAACTGGCGTTAAGGGTCAGAAGACATCGGAACTGAAGTTGGTCATCATTGTCTGAAAGTCATGATGAATATCGGGGTCTACGTTGCAACATGAACTGCACTCCCTCGCAAGGAATTCTTCATTCTCATTCTTATTTTCTGGAAATTTAGAACGCTATCCGAAGGCGTATTGAAATAGCGAAAAATACTTTCCAAAAGTTCAACAAAATAATAAGACATAAAGATTTCGCTGGAAACAAAGAAAAGAGTGCTGAACAGTCATCTAATATCAGTCTTCCTACATGGCAGTGAATGCTGGCCAATTTCCTCGCAGACGAAGAGAATACTGTAGGGAGCAAAAATGTGGTCCTACAGAAGGATGCTGAGAATGTTACGTGGAACTCTTAAAAGAAAATAAAAACGAAAAAAGCACTCAGAATCAGAAAGTCATAGCTGAAATTTCTAATGGGGAAAGAGAGTTTGGAGAATTTGGCACTCACAGGAAGAGGGAAACGTCGAGTAACGTACATAACAAATTTTGTAAAAGGGTAGCAGAACGGGGTGGGAAGACAAACGTTACCAGGATCTATAATGTTATGGAGGGGCATAGCACAAAAAAGAAACGCAAATAGAACACGGACTATAGAGATTCAAACAATACTCCATTGTTAAACTTAAAAAAAATCTATTCTCATATAAATCAATCAGTAGTTCTGTTATCAAGATATGGCTAAATTTACGAATATCAAAAATAAAAGTCAGTCTTTTAACCAAAGGAACATATCCTATAAAAATATATACACCCTTGTGCAAATTAATTGAAATAACAGCTTCAGTTTCCTTTCTTTCACCATACGATCAGTTTTAGACCCACCGGAGTGACAGGGTGTAAGCGATTTCTGTTTTTCGGGCTGTATGATGAAATTTATTTGGCCTTGAAA